ACCCACCACCTTGGTGATGATGTGGGCTGCTAGTTGTGTTGGGGCCGGAGGTTCCAGAGGCAGCAGCTGACAAGGCGGCCCGCGTCAATCAGTCCGACAAGGAAATGTAAGGGCCCCGTTGCGCAGCATTGTTGCGCTCTGCATCAGCATACCCTGTGGCATACCCCTCTGACCCCTGCTGCTGCTCCATCTCGCCGTCATCATCGCTCTCATCCTCATATCCGACCAAAAAGACGAAAGCGTGATTGGGTCCAAACCCCCCATGGCCTCTGTACGGCACCAAACGGCACTGTACGGCTCCGCACAATACCAGGAAGGTAGTGTCCGGGTGAAGCGTGACGTGGCAAGTGTCCAGACAACGAGCACTCGCGAGAGCTGATCAATGTTTCTGGCTCGTCACCACGTCGGAGTATGTCGGAGTGTGAAGAGAACAGCAGCAAACGACATAACGGCAACGGTAAACCGTTAGGTGAGTCGTAACGAGAGTTCTGCACTTTCAATGGCAGCACCGCAAAAAGGTGCGAAACAATCACCAATGATTGTAGAGAAAATAATGGGAGGGGACATCGCCAAGCCCCTTCATCTGCACCACCTTCATTCGAATCCTAAACCCCTACATCCCCCACCTTCTTGTGCATGCAGCATCGTGCGCAGCAGGGGTTAGAGGGGTATGCCACAGTGGCGGGTGGCCGCCCAAACTCAGCAGACCTTGATGTACATCTTGGTGCACCACTCAGAACAAATGCCTATCCTGTGGGTTTGATCCCATATAGAAGCGGGGTAGTGGATTGGATTACGGTTTTGGGCGTTCAGGTTGCAGAGACTGCATCAGCAAACCGAAGGAAGGAGTTAATTTAAAGGAGGAGGGGTGTTTTGCAGTTGTAAAACGAGGAGGGATGTTCTTGCAGAGGTTTCGTCTTTGGGGGGTTCCATTATAATCCAATCATATCAACACTGGGGGGATAAACTACTGCTTTACCACGAGGCGGTAAGGGGCGTGAGACACAGTGCTAGAAACAGGCAAAGCCCGGTGCTGTTAATGACACACGCCTTACGTTTGAGGCCCCTTGTGACGGCAGTAGAGTAGCAATACTGGTGGTGGTCATGGAATGTTGGTGGGGGAAGGAAGGGCCAAAGGTCCCCCGCAAGTGTTCGTTCCCCGACAAAGGGAGACGAAGTATGAGTCCCTAGGTTGTATTCTCGGCCAGCAGAATTTTAGGTTTCTTATTAGGCATTTTTAGTCAGTGTTAAGTTTTTTGGCATTTTCCTTTTATTTTCGTTTAGTCTTAGTGTCCCCTTCGGGGAATGCGCGCCGGGTCATCCCTCGGGTTTTCGTTAACCAAGAGCGAAGAAAACAAAAAATATTTTAGAACAAAATAAAATGCTTAATCAAGAGAGAAAATTTTATAAAATTTTATAATGTGAAGTATTCGGGACACCGAAGTGTTACCGAAGGGGAAATTAGGTAACGCGGGGGGGGGGTGGCGTAGGGGAGTGGGGTGGCGAGAAATCCGGCGTAACGCGGGTCCCGGGGTGGATGTGTGGACTAGGGCCTCGCCTGAACTTTCATCCCCATACGTCACGGGTCTGTATAGTCAAGACGCATCATCGCCTGACAACGACGTCGGGTAACGATACCTGAGGCCAGACCGTTGCGTTTTCATTTCGCAACTTGTCTGTAGTTAGACTTGGTGCCGGGGTGTGTATGGTGGGGAAGACGACCACAGCTCAAGTAAGCGTCTTGTACAATCATCGAAAGGAGGTGGCATCGCGCATTGTATCGCTCATGTACCCGCCTGCCCTTATCGGACCCTGCTGACGTTCGGGCTGCCTGCCACCGTCACTGCAGCCGCCCACAACAGACTTGCCCCGTCGGCACCAGAGCCACAGACAGAACTTCTCATCATGGTTTTTGTTACCCTTTCGTCAACCCAACTATACACAAACACGCGCGCGTCGGCCTGGTAGCTCCAAACGCTATGGTCATATTTTATCACTAGGACGTGGTTGGGGCGTCGGGCAGCACCTTTCCGGTCGGAAATTTGCGGTGGATCCGGTGCCCGGTCGCAAAGGCTGTCGTACCCGGTCCGGCCGGCGGGGCTAACCAAAGGTTACTAATCGCCGTAACAATTTAGCTTTTTATTAACTTCTTTGCACTAAAAACAAAACATGTTCATAGTTTTAGAAAACAAAAATAATAAGGTGATAATTCTGTATTGCAAAAAACCGTATCTTGTTTAAAAAGTAATTGGGTTAACAAGACCAGATAGAAATAAAACTAATCTTAGTAGATCTCTGTGTTGTCCATATATATTTATTTAATTATGTAATATTGACAATACTGGATAGTCCAGCCAGATGCATCATACCGATCCCATGCGGGCCGTTGCGGAGAAACGGTTGATTAGAGTTGATCACTCAGTGGAAGCACTTGTACATGTAAATAGACAAATACAGCTAACCTAAGGTACGGAAAATGGGTGCTCTTCGTCCCATGCACGTCAACCAATCCTCGGTCGAACACTCAACTATCCACTTGCACCATGTCATAATTTAACTTTAACTTAGAAAGGTCGCAACCACTCACCACCTTCTAGCGATAATGATGACGTGGGTCGCTGGTTGTGGTGGCGGCGGAGGTTCCAGAGGCAAGGGCTCTTGCTGCAGAGTGTCTTTAGATCTTGTCGTTGAAAGGTCTTATGGGATGGGCTTGATCAAATTGTTGGATTCGGCAATGCCTGTCGGGAATGGGGCGAACGGGACTTCGGATTAGTGTTCGGAACGGTTGAAACTGTTCGACTACCTAGCTGTTAGTGTCCACGGAATGTGGACGCAGAACGCAAGAATGCGTTCGATAGTAACATGAGCTTGCTCTTGGCCCCGCGGCAGGCCGTTGCGCGAGCAAAGGTCGGACGATCCTGTGAAGTTCCTAAGATTTTGCAGATCAAATGCACACCCAAGAAACTAACCTCAAGGAATTAAGATTATTCCTGAAGACTTCGCATGGTCGGCTTCGGCAGGCGACATGTCCTCGCACCTATGTCACGCCGCTCTGCATGAAGCATCAACAGTCCTGCGTAAAGATAATTGGTTTCATTTGCAACGTATCACTCTGACGGAATTACAAGGTGGCGGCCATTTTGCACATTTTGCACATACCGCTCGTCGCAACTCCACAGCAGAATCGATGGTCCCGTGAATCTCGGTAGGCTGGTAAAATGCAGGTGGCCTCCAACCAACATCAGGTCTACACTACAGACCAAAGTGCTGCGCTGGGACTGCGAGGAGGCCCTCAGGTACAGTATGAGGCAACAAGCTGTCACCTGCCCTTGTGGATCATAAAGAAGAGCGTGATAAGGTGTGGTGAGGCAGGCACTTCGAAATAACCATGGGCTGGTGTTACAGCTGTCAAGCTCGCTTTGGGTTCCGTACACGCGGAAGTAGGCCACCAAACTTATACTGTCGGTATCCAACATTTATTACCTAATCCTCCCCTAATAGAAACTGTTAGGTCTTGGTTGCCCTTGCCCTTGCGTACTACCTGCAGAGTCTCAAGAGGTTAGTCCCCTGACACGCAAGATTGCTGGCTTGCAGAATGCCTTCTACGTTGCATGTTGAATATTAAAGCCTGTCGTCTTTAGAGTTTAATTGAATAACATGTTATCAAGAAACATGTTAAGCCTGGTCGCCTTAAAAGCTAGGGAAGTAGTGGAGCTACCTTTTCTCAGCAGATTATTGTGGATTGCGATAAAGTTTCTCCAGGAGCCCAGATCTAGAGGATTTTGTGTTGCCAGACAGTCTTGCGGAGTCGCGGTTGTGAGCCATTGCTTCCGTCCGTCCGCACAAGATCTCGCATGAACCGCCTCTGGTGGTTAGTTTACCAGTAAAACAGAGAGCTTGGAATGCGTGTAAAGGGTTCCTTTTGCGTCGCTCCTCGGACAACCAGAGATGCCCATTGACAGCCAGTGCAGAGTTTATAATTTGTATCTGTCCGTACCAAACAGAAAATTCGCATAGCAGAGGCAACATGAACTGCGTCAAGTCAGAAGTCGTAATGCTTTTACCTAATAAGTTACTGGTTATGCGTGCGGCCATGCCATACTTGCTCACGAAAGGACCATGGCTTGGCTACAGGGATTTCAAGTATTTTGCATGACGTTGTCATCAAAGCCGAGAGGTTAAGATCGGGGTCAAAGGGGCGCCCGGAGTAGCGGAACAGACACGACCTGTACAGGGGAGTCGTCAAGACCACCGAGTAAACTATACACGCGCAGGATACCATGTAGTCCAACAATTGCACTCGCACTCACGATCCATGCACTCGGACTACATTTGCGAACTGAAACAAGCTCCCCCCGCCTGAAAGCCAACAGAACCTGAATGCTTCATCAGAAGATTCCGCTAAACCCTCGGCTGCTCCCTTGGACCACAACATTACCGAAGAACACAGTAGCCCCCCGCCGGCCCGCCATTGCGGCAATAAGTGCTGCATCATTGATCAACACAAGCCTCCACTGCCGGCATACACATTTACATCACAAGCACGGTACAGGCTTCATCACATCATCTGCTCAACTGAGTGCGATGCGGGTTGCTGAGTGCGGTACTCTGTGTGTGGTGTGGTGACATGCATGTTGCTCAACCAGGAATGGATGAAGTCACGGAGGCGCTCCAGGGTGGGGGTTGTCGTAGCGTGTGGGATTATCATGTTATGGGTATGATCGTCCTTCTTAGCAATCGCACCAGTACGGTGTACTGGTGCGCTGTGGCTGCCACAGATGTAAATGTTTTGATACGCAGGTACGAGCAATGCTGTTGTATGGCTGTCAAGTGTGGGGACCCTTTGTGCTAGCTGAGGTCTTGGACAGGCTCAGGAGGCGGAGTGATGCCGAGTAACCTTGCGGAGGGGGCCTTCGAGGCATGTCTGAAAGATGACGCGGTGAAGCTTCAGGTGTCGTTCGTGCGGCAAGTGGTGGGAGCTGCCAAACCAGCGCACCACATCCTGTTCGCGGAAATTATCACGGCTACCCCTACACTACCACGTTTTCAAACAGATTGTGAGTTTTTGGAACCGTGTCCGTTTGCAGCGTGGGTCACACCAAGTTTTGCGACAGGAGATCGTAAGGAGGCTCTCTCCAACTCCGAAAAGGCGGATGGGGTTCACTAGACTCCTCCGTTTTCTAAGTTTTCTGGGGCACGACGTATGGAAGGAGGTCCCGCAAGTGCTACGTGAAGCAGACGACCGAGTGGAATGGCTAATGAACAGGCAATTGTGTGGTATTGGAGTTCTAGGATCGAGTGATGAGTGGTTGGAAGCATACACGTCTAGATGTCCAGCCAGACAGGTACCCGTCAGACGGCAAGCAACCAGGAATTCACATGGCGAAGTATATAAGCATTGGATGGGTTTGGTGGCCGAGCAAAGGGCAGGAAGGAGGTGCTCCCGCATATCACAACGTCTATCCCGCCAAACCCGCCAAACCCGACAGCACCACACACACCTTGGAGTCATTCACGAGTTGGTACTTCTCTGCTAACCTCTGAACCCGTGTCGCCCCCCTGCCCCCGCCCCCGCCCCTGCCCCTGCCCCCGCCCCCGCCCTGCCATCAAACCGACCAGAGATGCGGAGACCCAATCCGACCAGAACCGCCCCCTGGTGGTGCATCGCTGCACGGCACTGCTACACATGGCGGGTGAGGAGGGAGGAGCCAATCAGCTCCGGAGGGGGGGACCGCCACCGCAACGCTCTCCCGAGTGCGCGCGCATACACACCTACACATGCATTTTGCCCTTCCCCATCATCCCTCCCCTCCCCATCCCTCCCCACCTGCCCGTTCTGGAAACAGATGGCTCCCCCCCCAATCGACCCCGGCTCAAGGTCACGCGAGCTCCCCCTCAGGCTCCTCTACTGTAGCCCCCTCCTCCCCCTTGCTACTGCTACTGCTATTCCGCCACCTCTTGGGACTGCCCTTCCACATGCTACTGCTGCTGGGTCCGGTCCTGCAGCTGCTTGATGTCCCCCGGGTCGTTCAGTACGGTGTTGTCGATGAGACGCACCGTGCCCCGGTCCCGGGCGGGGAAGTGCGCGGCCACCGCCAGCAGCACGGGTTGGGAGGTCAGGTCACTGATAGGGCTCAGGTGGTGCTCGTGGAGCAGCTGGGGGAGGGAGTTGGGAGAGGGTGGGGGGCGTGCGGGGTTGTGTGGGTGGGTGGTGGTAGTGGTGGTGGTGGTGGTTGAAGAGAGCGCACAGCCGCCCCTCCATCGCCAACCGGGCGCCGCTAGTGCTTCACCCGCCACCCGCCACATCACCCGCCACCCTAACAACGTCCTCCGCTTGCTTGTTGGCGTTTTCTTCGTCGTACATGACGACGGGAACGAGTACGAACACGAGCACGAGATCACACCTCCTCACACATACACACATACATACATACATCTCCATACTGGGTGTGGGGGGCCGCCGGGTGATGTCCCAGGAGTCGGTGACCACCGGCGCTAGGTAGGTAGGTAGGTAGGTAGGCAGGTGGGAGGGAGGGATAGGTGTCAATCGCCCCCACAGCATAGGAGGATTGCATTACGAATCAAGAAATTTACTTTTCGGATCACTCTGCGGTGATATGATATCATGTCTGTGCTGCTGTGAGTCGCGAGTGCACGTGGTTTTCGAATTTCGACATATAGATGGATAAGAATGCTTTGATGCATAGATAAGGTAGACCGCTCTAGACGTCGTTTTGAGCAATCCATCTTCCACGATTCGTTGATTTGAGACGGACCTTCGGCTTCATCAGAACCAATAAAGCTTCATCAGGGCGACCAGGGGACATTGTAAAACACAAAACGGCAGGTGGCTGGCAGAGGTTAAGGCCTGGCCTCTGCTCCCGGCGCGTCCGGGTTCATAAAACTTCGCTTGCCGACCTCTCGGGGTCCAGGAACTAACTTGACGCGCCGTTGATCCGCTAGATTTGGTTGGATGCCGGTGGTGAGTTGCCAAACTCAAAGAGCACACTCTGAAGTCGGTTGGGGTGAATGGTTATTAATTAGGGTGCCCCTCTAGCAGGGGAGAGCAGGGAACTGCCTCGGGAAGGAGGCCACTGGTGAAGCTTAACCACCCTGTAACATCAACACAAAACATTTCGCCGCGATCCTCCCTTCCCCAGCGATCTTAGCCACTTTCCTACATCTGTGGCGGCCGCAGCGGCGGCACCCGCGCACAGCCCCCTCGCACTGTAGAGCTCTCTCGGCACACCAGTTCGTTACAAGAAGGCGATCCGCACCACCCTACCCTACCGCCCACATCCTCCTTCCACATTAGGACTTCATACCGGGGCGGGTGTCTGGTGATGTATATACATACAGATGGGTGACACCGCAACACTAACTTTAGCAGCAGGAGGGAGAGAACCACAACACAACACAGGAAAAACACGCATTTGGGTTTTCCGCTTTTCCTGCAGCTGACCGTACAACACACCGACTGCTGCCGATGAACACTCATGTACGGCATTTGAAGGACAATCTCGAGCTGTGCACGTCATAATGTCTTTTCACATCATATTCATCATAGCATACTTGCCTGAGAAGTGCATTGCATACTTCCCGCATGCCTCCCAGCCCTCCACACAACCGACGGCCATCGCGGCAACATCATCTGGGTGGTGCCCATAGCTACTGGGAGGGAGCAGTTTGCGCAGAGCCCTAGAATTCACGCGCGCGGCTAAATGAGCCTCCTTTGGGGCTACAATGAAGGAGGACCTGAGGACGTCACGTGGAGGAGGAGGAGGGGGAGGAGGAGGGGGAGGAGGATACACTGTACACTGTGGCGGCGAGGGGAAACAAGCCATCACTCCGCGAGTTCTTCCCTGCTCTAAATACGACAATAACTTCGCGTAACGTACTTCGAGGGGCAAGACCAGCTAACCAGCGCACACACTAGCTGGATATCAAACAGCGGCGGACCACGGGGCGCACCACGGTCGGTAGCATCACTCGCACGCTCTCCCAGTGAATACGGACACATACAGACAGACATAGAGAGGCACCGGCAGGTGTTACAGCACAGACTTATACGTGCATCAGACCGGACACATGCCCTTCCCCACGTGACCTCTATACGACCTAATACTATGGGGACTGCCGCACCCAGTAGGGAGCGGCAATCAGCTACGTTAGCACTGTACATGCACTATACTATACGCCGCATCATCGCCACGCCATCAGTGTCATCATTACCTCTATTGCTACTGCTCAAACGCGTCGCCTGGCAGCCTACTACTGCTCGCCTGCCTTCCTGCTTACCTGCCCTCTACGGTATGTCTCTGCGGGGCCGGCTTATCCGCCCGTCTGTTTGTCTATTTGCCTGCCGGCTAGAAGAAGGTAGCAGCAAGAAGGTAGCAAGAAGGTAGCAAGAAGAAGAAGAAGAAGAAGAAGAAAAGTCAGCAGATTAGTCCAATTTTCCACAGGATCACACAACTCTCATATTTCTTCTCAACAAAATCAAACCAGGTTACACCTCTCTCTCTCTCTCACGCACACACGCACATTCCCTCGTCCATTTTTTCCTCTCACACACGCACACGCCAATAATTACCGCACACAGCACAAGTCGGCACGCATACATACATAATACATACATACATTTCGTCCATTGACATTTTTCTGATCGAGCCCACCGTCAGCCCACAGATCATGAGGAACCCACCGCACCGCACATCCCCCCCCCAAGAAAGACGTAATCTGCGCTAGAAAGCAAGAGAATGCGCACAAGGCGCCACACTTTATAAACATCGGCCTTTGTAAACCCTAAGTAAGGCCGAGTCGGCGCATCGCGAAAACCTTTTCTAAACAGTTCACAGTACCCTTGTGTCCTTGTGGGCCCTATACAGCACTGCGCAAGCGGGTAAAAGACAGGTCAGTCGGTTGGGTCGATCAGGGTCGATCGCCACCAGACACGCAACCCTCGACCTGCTTGCTGCCCAACCCGCTAAAAGCCGCCGGCCAGCCGTTGCACAAGAAATCATTCCTTTGTGCCGCCCACCGGCGAACCAACCCAGCGAATCAGCCACCTTCTCAGGTTTGTTGTGGTCTGTGTCGCTGTCACTCTAGGTGGCACTCACTCACTCTCTAGGTGATTCCTCCCCCTCCCCCTCCCCAGATGTCGTCCCGCCAGTAGGTACGAGTTTGCTTGCCTGTAGCTAACAATCAGTAGCACAAATGAATCAAAGGCGCGCGGAGCGCTAGCAGTAATCAAATGAAGCCGACGGCACTGCGCGACACACACACTGCGACTGACTGGCAAAAAACAGACCTGGAAGGGGAAAAGCTCCTCTACGAAGATGGGGGCATTTTCCTTCAGGCGCCTTCAAAGCCCATCATCTGCCCCCTCCTGCATTCCGTTACTTGAGTCACTGAAAGTAAGCTGTGGAGAGACAGAACAAAGTACAAAAAGACACAAACCCGGCACGGGGCTGCAACGTGACCTCACTGAATGGGACGTCGTAGTCGGTGCACGCACGCAGTACGACGCGAGCTGTACGACAATACGACATCAGGGCGTCTGTATCCCAACGCAATTCAGCAGCGTAACTCATCATTTCAGCCGCTCCACACCACCACCACCACCAGCACCATTAACAACACAACAACGGGGTACTATTGTTGGAATCCTCAGCACCTTCCCCCCCCCCCACATGCACGGTTCACGAATCGCTCCGAAAACAGAAAAACACATTACATTCTTATCGACCCCAACACACGGCTAGCGGTCTTCTGCTCCTCCGCGGCTAAGTTCTCAGTAATCGCCAACCCCCGTACCCGCAGTCCCCACCCCAGCAGGTGTACCGTGGGGTTCCGCGCGCCGCCAGGATGGTGAGGACACTGCGTACGATATTGAAGCATAGATAAAAACACAAACGTGTCACAATACCATCCGCATCGGATACCCACCGCACGTCAAAAGCCCACCGTCAACACCCCGGGTCGGGTCGTGACACAGACCTACAGACGTACAGAGAGACATGTCGTCATCGGCATCATCCATCCTGAGCACAGCGGGACGTCTTCCTGCTGCAACTGCGGTCACCACCACCACCACCACCACCGGCACCACCACCGGCACCACCACCGGCACCGCCGCCACCATCACACGCGGCACTGCTCAGAGTCTCTCTCCTATCCATCACCGTCGTGTCACCCCTACCCCCCTACCCCCTACCCAATAACACCTAGCGCCGCCAACTAGGCCATCAACGGCCATCACGATGATGCATCGACCACCACTATCTCTACCCACAAAAACCTCAAAGTGCACGGCACTATACGGCAATACAAGGCATACAACACGCACGCATTGCGCACACACAAGTCACAACGCGCACACACACATTCTAAGCCGAAACGCGAAATGGCGAATTCATATTACGAGCGAGCCCCTTCCAGAAGGGCCAATATCGGCGCATCACCCTCGCTACCCCCGCTTTCGTCCCTTCCCCACTTCGCCGCTCCCCACTCCCTGCTCTCGTCGCGACTCGCTATCCACTAGACCGGGTCGTCCTGACCCCAGGGACTGGGCGCGCAGCCGCAGTCGGGAAGCTCGCTCTTGTGCCTCAGCGAACTGCCGCCGGGCCGCCGCTAAGCGACAATCGTGCGGATGCATCCCCCCCTCCGATGAGTTCGGCGCTGGCCCCGGTAGCCGCCTGTTGCGGCCTCCCCCCTCCCGCCCATCCACAGCCCCAGCGCTCGAGGACAGCGACGGCTTCCGGGGTTCACTTCCACGGGAGAGTGTGAGGGTGATGGTGGCGGTGGTGGTGGTGATGTTGGTAGCGCCGAGCTTCGTAAGGGGGCCCGCCATGGGGAGCGCAGCAGCAGCGGCGGCGACAGAAGCCGGGCCTTGCAGCGGGCGCAGCAGCGGCACCGCTGCGGTACACCCGACAATTGCCGATTCTGCCGTACACGCCGGTGCAGGATCTACCTTCGTCGATATGAGCCCAGCGGCTCCTGACGTCACATCGTTTGGCGATGTTGTTGCGGTTGACAGCGGGCGGGCTGTCGCCGCTGCCGGTGCTGTTGCCACTGCCGGCGCTGTCGCCGCTGCCGGCGCTGTCGCCGCTGCCGGCGCTGTCGCCGTTGCCGGCGCTGTCGCCGTTGCCAGCGCTGTCGCCGCTGCCGGCGCTGTCGCCGCTGCCGCCGCTGTCGCAGCTGCCGGCGCTGTCGCCGCTGCCGCCGCTGCCGCCGCTGCCGCTGCCAACACTGCCCAAGGTGCTACCGCCCCCGTCTGCCGCCGCCGGTCCTCCGCTGCCGCCGTACCTGATATCGGCAACATGCCGTCCACGGCGTTGCGCGCCGTGACACCGCCTTCTTTCCCCCCTGCCGCCGCCGCCGCTGCCGTTGCCGCTGCCGTTGCCGCCGCCGCTGCCGCCGCCGCTGCTGCTGCCGCTGCCACCGCGCGCTTATGTGGCGCCCCGGTGCTGCCTATTGCTGCGGACGGCGTTATCGCCGCAGACATCTGCGATATACCGCTGGCCAACGTTGCCACCATCTGCGCCGGTGCAGATGATGCCTGCGGCATGTCCCTAGCTACCGCATGCGGCGGCGCTGCCGCTGCGACAGACATTTGCCCGGACGCGCTGCTGCCAATTGGGCCCCTCGACGCCCCTACCGACATCATCGCGGGCGGAATGTCGGAAGGCGCTGAGCCCTGAGCTCCGTGAGCCGGTGGTGCAGCTGCCGGCAGCGACCCCGCATCAGCTGACCTAATATGCAGCACCTTCTCCCCCCCTCCGGCTTCTGGGCCCCCTGCGGCGGCGGCCGGCATCACCGCTGCGGTGGCGGGCAAAACATCGCCAGCAGCGGGAGCCGGCCCGTCTGCTAACGACGCCGATGTAGATGTGAATGTAGATGTGGGTGCCTCCGACGCGCCGTCAGCCACCGCAGCTGCCGCCGCGCCCCGGGCGGCCGCCACCGCTTCGGCAGCCTTCTGCACCGTCGCCTCCGCCGCGTGACGCAACCGCTTTTGCTCCCGCTGGCACTGCACATATTCGTCCAGTCTTCGCCGTACCCAGTCCCCAACCGCGCCGTACAACGGTGCCTTGGCTGCCCCCATGATCAAGTGGAAGTGCATAAGTCGATCGCGATGCGGATCGTGTGGCATGTCGTACGTCAGTGCTTGGGATACGTCACCGACGCGCCGTACAGCCAGCCCGTCTGACGTACAAGTGATAGCGTACAGAGCTGCCAGCGCGGGAACCAAACCCGGCCAAGCGCTCATGGACTCATCCAAAACTCGTACCCGTCGTGACCCGAGAATCTCATACTTGCCCGATCCGCCGCCGCCGCCGCCGCCACCGCTGCTGCCGTACGACCCGTCAGGGAGTCTCGGAGCCTCCCGGAGGCAGTAAAACCTCCAGCGCTTTAGATCCGTCAGCAACCCCCAAACAACTATCGGCCGCGCCTGCTCGTTGCCATTATGATTACCGCTCTCCTGCCTCGCAACCCCAGGTCGACTCCCGTGACGGCTGCCGTACCTCCCGGCAGTGGCGGCAGTAGCTGCCCCGGCAGGTACAGTGACCCCTGAGTGCAACGCCGCTTCCATCATACGCGCCCAGAGGCGGTACTTGGCAGTCGGCGCCGTGGCCCCGTCATCGCCACCGCCACCGCCCTCCCGACCGGAGACGGTTTGACAGTTGGGTCGGATGCTACCTGGGTCCCCCCTCCCCTCGCCGTCACTGCTAACGCCGTAATAACCGTCATTCGTAACTTCCACCAGCAGCAGCGGGCTGGCGGCTCCGGAGTTGAGGGCAGCACGGAGGCCGGCAGTCGTCGTATCCTCTAGCGCAGGATTGTGGTCACGACGGGGCGAGGTGCGCAGGAGGAGGAAGCCCGGGGCTGGTGGAGCGGGGGAGAGTGAGGTCCAGGGGGGTCCAGGTGTTGACGTCGCAGACTGCTGGAGGCGCTCCTGCTGCCCGTTTCTGCTGCTGTCGTACACGGCAACGTTGCCTTTACTGTTACTGCTGTAGCTGCAGGGGGAGCTAGGCTGGGCTGTTCCGTTTCTGCCGCTGCTACTGCCATTCATGCTCGTTGAGGCGCCGGTGCCCTTACAGGTGCTGCTGGCAGTGTAGCCGTTTGCGAAGGAATTGTCATTAGAATGGTCTAAGCCGTCGCCGTTCGAGGGGTAGAATGCACTACCGTTGCCGTTTCTGTTGCTGCTCCCGGAATCTAAGGTGCCGTGAGACGTCGAACTTCCCGGCGCGGATACCGACACGCCTACGGCAGAAGAAAGGCGCAGTAGCACGTGTCGCGGAGCTGTTCGCACGTGTTTGTATAGCAGACACATAAGGCATGTCCCGGCACCCTTGGACGTTCCCCGCAGGGCGTACACACCCCAAAACGATATTGGCGCAAACATCGCTATCCTTAACTAATCCTTCATTCAAAGACCTGCTGCAGGCCCTGGTAATGCCCATGATAAAGTCCTTCGCCATGCTCTTCAAGGACCCATATGCTAGAACATTAATAAGAAGCATTTGGAATGCGTGAATCTAAACGAGCTCCACCACCGTCAAGGATCACCCTCAAGTGAGGTCGAGTTAAATCATAACCCCAATACTATCTTCAATACCCTTCTATACTAAATAAGACAAAAGACAAGTCACACAGATACCACAACCCACATTAAACAAAGCCGATTTTAAGAAGGCCTAAACAAGGTTGTGCTCACCTTTCGCCACGGACTGATGCCCGCGTGATTTCATGGATGAAGACACGTGGACGGGTCTTTGGCTAGCCGTCAGTTGTGCTAAAGCATCGAGTTCTTCAGACCCAGCCAAAACCAATTCGCGGTCACCTCCGAGGGCAGAGAACACCTTGAGTAGTTCATAAAGAAGGATATGGTTCAGCCCGTTTCCCAGCCGCAGCCAGCTTTGACAGCGAACCAAGGGCTCGGCAACAGCCTTAAGGATGGCAGCCGCGCCCTCTTCTGACGGCGCGTACAGCTCGATATCGCCATAGCGACAATAACGATTTGGTGTCATAAAGTGATGATGGTACTGGTGCTCAAAATCCGCCTTGGTCATAATGGACGACGGAGTGGCGTAGTGCCGGTCTGCCGGCAAAGACGCTGAGGCTGAGGCCGCCTGTACAACACACGACGAGGAACGCCAGTCCGAAACACAACTGCATCGGTTTGTAAGGGTAACCATGCAAGCAGCACCTGCGCAGCTGGCGCCCTTGCGCTGTTGCATTCGGCATTTTCCAGCTCTGGCTTTCAATGCGTGCATTCGGTTAGAACAGCAGTATAACTCGTTAACACAGAGCACACATCAATTCTTTGATTACACAAGACGGCTTCACGTATGGCGAACGGGCGCTGCAAAGGCGAAGAATCACGAACGTACGGAAACAACTGACACCGTCAGCCTAAAATGCTCCGAAGCCGGACGCTGCAAGCTTATTTGTACTTAACTTGTGAGTATTATGCAAAGGACCCCTATTTTTATTTGTCTGGAGAAATGGGCAAGGCCTATCAACCTTGATTGTAACCTTGGACGTTTGGGTCGTTCTTGCCACATGGAAATCTTGCAACTTGTGGATCAGCTCACATAGACGTCTGGCAACTTTAATCCATGCAGACGCCCTAACAGCTTGTATCAAGACAGCGCTAGGCAGTGGTGCGGCTTCTTTGACATGCAGCATGGGGGCTTGGAGGTAGCATTCATGTCTTCCGCCGCTGAAGGCCTGGTCAGCCATGGCATTTGCCGGCATAGGCAAACATCTCTAAAGTCATGTCATCGGCCTATAAATTGGCTTCTAATGAACTGAAGGCATGCTAGCAACTCCCAGGTAGTTAAGCTGAACCAAGGAATCGGGGCTGGCATGGGAGGGGGAAGATGTAAGCGCCATCCTAGGGTCAACACATTGTTTTAGACGTACATGTTCATAAGCCCATTCCCGCGTGAAGGGGGTCGAGAAGTGTAGTATGCCTGATGTGTGGCCCCCCACACCCTCATAGGCCCAGATCCTCGACACCCTTGGGTGGCCCATACCCTCCACATCCTCGTGTGTTTGTGTTTGTGCGTGCATGCGTGTGTTACACGGTTGGGGTTGCGTGACCCATACGAGCTGAAGGCCCAAGGGCAAGAGATGAACACCTAAAAGAAATACCGCAATAGCAGAACAGCGAACTAGCACCCTAAGCACTCGGGTTCTGCTTGCCTCCCAAGGCCCAGCAACGTAAGCGACACTGCATCAGCTTATGATGCGCTAGACGAGGAATGAAAACCATAGCATGCATTGGGCACATGACGGCCCCCGGGCTCCCGACTAGGGGGGCGGCCCCATCCAGTGCTCATACTTCAACATCTGTACTCCCGGTTGTATCCCATCCGATGGGTATACTCCTCTGGCTAGACACAGTCAGACGCACATGGTCCCAGCCGTCCATCAAACGCTCCCTTAGTGCCGTTACCCACCCGTTGTCCTCGTGAGGCTGTAGTATACTGTAGTATTCTGGGTATCACCCCGCCAGTCTTCCTATCCCCGCCTCCCTACCCTAAAACCCCGCTTCCCTACCCTAAAACCCCGCCTCCCTAACCCCTGCCAGACTTCCTACCCCCGCCAGTCCAGCCTGTCTGGGAAGCTGAAAGCGTCCTCCACCATCCAAGAAGTTTACCAACCTTGTTACTTCCATTGCCGATTGCTCCTCTCCGATGGGTTATTCGCGTGACTAGCAATCGTTATCTTAAGTTACCACCATTGGTATGTATGTTGTTACAGGGTGGTTAACTTCGCCAGCGGCCCCCTTTCCCGGGGCAGTCCCTGCTCTCCCCTGCTAGAGGGGCACCCTAATCCGTCACCCCATCCGACTTTAGAATGTATTCGTTGGGTTCGGCAACTCACCACCAGCATCCAACCAAATCTAGCGGATCAACGGCGCATCAACTTAGTTCCTGGTCAGCTCGCAAGTTGATATTATCACGTCCTACACCGTCCATAAGATGGGGGGCCACCTCCCATTTCATCACTCCTCTAACACCCGAGGAGCCGGCAGGCGGATTTGAACCCGGGTCGACTGGGTCGACTGGGAGCAGAAGTCAGGCCTTAACCTCTGCCAGCCGCCTGCCATTGGTATGTGGGATTCCTGGCATGTAGCACGGGACTGCTCAAACCTGCGGAATGATATACGAGCCATATAGTGTCATGCATGATTTTGGATGGAAAGTTTTGACATCTTTCGCAACCAGGCAGCCGCCCTGGTAGGCGAGTTAGCTTGACCCGCTCAAGTAGTTTCTACCTATGGACAGATCGCAAAATTTTCCAGGCTTACAGCTTTAGAACATGCATACCGTCAAATGTTGATCAAGCTAGGATAGACGTCAAGAGCCCCCAAGAACGCAAGTCTGTTCATAGCACACCTATGCTCAAAACTGGTGTCCATTTTTGACGGGATAGCATTTGGCCACCACCTGCACTGGTGCTGTTAACAACAGCATATCTGCACGTTTACAGCAATGAAAACATGAAGGGTGTACGGCGCAATTTGGGTGAAGCATGGGCAATTCGCCAGCTAGCCAATCAGGCACAACAATGAGGACGTAGGCGTGTGAAATATTAGGATTGCTGAGATTTCTGTATTGCTCATTGAGATGTTCTTTCACCGCCTTGTTTCGGTTTAGGAAACCATCCATCTTTCAATGAGATAACCGTGAGAGCTCATCGAGTTGACCGTAACATATCTTCTGAAAATTAATTGCCTTAAGCACAGATATGTGCCCTGGGCCCGAATGTGATGATGCTGGACCACGCATACATGGAAGGCATGGCACCTTAGTACTGTGAGGACATACAAGCGATGTTTGATCCGAAGTCCGTTAGGTATGCAAGCTTGTGTGTGCTTGGTGTCTTGCCATTCTAAGCTGCTTTCGAATGCGTGAGGAGCAGCACTTGCCTTCCCTGCAATAGGTCACCTGCTGGGCAAAAGCTCATCAATGATTTGATGCTGGGCGATGATGAACCGGAGCTGGCTGCTGTCTATGACGACCTCGCGGATGCCGACGAAACAACGCCTACCGCGTCTAAACAAGCCGTGCAACGACGCAGCTCGTTGCCTTTGCATCCAACCAATGGAAATCAAAGGCGTAGCTCCCTACTAGTTGGTAGAAACGGAGTCGGGTCGGCCAAGACGCCCCGTGAAGCAGTGGCCGAAACCGACCCGGCCACAGGAATGCTCGCCGACCGCCCGGCCACAGCTCCGGCTCCGGTGTCCCCGTACATGCTCCTCGTGCCCCCTCAGCTCCCTGCAGCACGAGGCCTGAAGGATCCCCGGATGCCCGCCGTTAGCCCCTTGTTGGAGCGCCACCTCGTGTCCCGCCACACCAGCGCCTACCTGGGTGTCGTGACTGCTGTATTGCACCAGGTCTCCAGCCCCGCTGCCACAGGTGCGCCTCGGGACACCCAGCGCCGCCCGGGCACTGTGCCGCGCGATGTATACCATCACAGCGCCATCCTGCCGCCAAAGCGCCACCACCTCTCCGGCATGGCAACATCCGAGTCCGCCGCTACCGGGACAGACGGCATGTACGGCATGTACAGCAATAGTAGCACAGATGCTTCGCGAGTTGCAACTTCCGTCCGAGTAACGGTGGACGAAAAGGTATTTGGAAGTGCAGGCGGAGGGGGCTTTGGAGGCTTCCTGGAGGGCTATGACAGCCTGGGGGGGCCATTTATGTATGCGCCCTTCGGCGGCAGTGGCGGCAGCGGCGGTTTGCCCAGTCTTGGCGGCAGCGGCGAGTACTATGTGCCGTACCTCGACCGGTCGTACGGCAGCCATGCACCACTCGCGTGCACCGTCGATGCGCTTGCGCGTCGAGCGGAGGCTCATAAGGCCCTGACGCGGCAGCGGCTCCTGCAGCAGCAGATGGAGCAGCAGATGGCAGCCGGAGGGCGAAGGCGACAGCAATCGCAAAGGCAGCAGCAGGAAGAGCAGCAGCCGCAGGAGCAAAAAAAGGCGCAGATTGTCCTTTATCAACCCGGGCAAAATGAGCCCTACCAGCTGCGATTGGAGGGCGGTGTTCAGCCGGTGGCGCTGGGCCTGGCCTGGGACACCTCCCCGGGCGTCGTTGCAGCTGCGGCCGCCGCCGCCGCCACCACAGCTGCGGCCATCGCTGCGCGAGCAGAGGGCTTGTCGGCCGCGGCATCGCCGCTGCTCCGTGACCCATCGGCCTCGCCTAGTCTCCGGGATATTCCCTTGTCAGAAGCAGGCCGTACGAGCTCTGCACCACGGGGTGCTACTGCCGCCGCCAGTGGCGCCGGCGGCGGTGGCGCTACTGCCACTGCCGCCGCCGCCAGCTCCTCCCCAGCCTCGCCCCTGCGCCGGCGGCTCGGCGGCAATGCGACAGAGATGGGACAGCAGCAAACGGGGTCGGGCCGGGCGTCACCGGCAGGCGCGCCAGGCTCTCCCCGCAAATTACGGCCGCCGCGTACGCCGCAATCTGCGGCGGAGGCCGCAGCGGTTGCGGCGGCGGCAGAGGACTTGGCGCGGTCGCACCTGCCTCCGGCGGTACGGCGTGGCTATAACGGCCAGCTTGCAGCGCAAACCGTCAAGGACTGGGAGACTATTGCGGAGCCCAACCGTCGCATGATGCAGGAGATTGAAAACGTGACGAACCTGGTGAAAGGCAGGCCTTCCAGGCGCTCGTCCATGTTGGTTGCCTCCGCCAACGGCGGCACCGCCGCCAGCGGCGGCGGCGGTCGGCAGTTGTCCACGCCGTCGAACGCTCCAGGCTCAGCTTCCACGAAGCGGCGAGGTGGTCAGGATGGAGTGGGAGCTGACGGCAGCGGCGGGGGTGGGGAAGCCGGGGGCGCCTCCGCTGGCGCGCCGTACGGCAAGCACACCTCTGCCCGCTCTCGCCGGCGCTACATCCGCTACAGCACTGACGTGTTTCCGGAGCTGGGCTTGCCGCCCGCTAGCAGCCTGAGCCGTCGCACTCCCGCCACTGCCAACGGGCCGTTCGGGACGGCCGGGGCCGCAGCCGCCACCGCGGTAGCAGGTGCCGTACCAGCTAAAACGGCGGCGACGGCGGCAGCGAATGGTGGGTGGGGTCCGTGGGAAATGTCGCCGTCAGCGTCGGCGGAACCTGTTGACCCGTACAGTTTAGATTTGCAGCCGCCCAGGGGTCTGGTAGATGAGTTTACACAGGGCGAAGAGTACGGCGACGTCGAGTACGGCACCTCATCGCACGCCGCAAAGGGCCCTCGCTACGTCCTCGCCGCTGCCGCGCGGGTTCCGGTGCCCATTCACTTGCACCCGCTGCCTACACCGCCAGCCGCCGTCGCCGCCGTTGTTGCCAGCGGCGGCACCGCCGGCGCCGCCGCCGCGGCCCTACCGCAGTGGGTAGATCCCCTCGTCGCCGCTGCCTCCGGCGGTGCCGCCGTCGGTGAGCCCGATTCACCTGTACTGGGCTTTCAGTCGTCGGCATCCGTGGTGCCCGGATTATTGCTACCAAGCATGGCCAGCGGCTCTCAGAGCAGTCCGTACAGCAGCCGTACGCCGTCACGTACGACATCTATCATGACGGGGGCACTTTCTGCTCGCGGCGTGGGGCTTCAGGGCTGCCCCTCGGGTCCGCCGTTGGGATCGCCGTCGGCATCTTTGATTTTGGACGAGCAGTCCGGGTCCTGGTCCGCTGGCGGCAGCGCCGGCGGCGGGGGGCTGACGAGCCGGAGCGCTTCTATCATCCGCCGTCACGCCCAGCACCACCAGAGTGGAAAGCAACTGCTGGCGGCGGCGCCAGGGACGTCCGGAGCCTCCGTCGACGAGCAGTTGACCGGCTCCACCGTCACCGCAAACCCATCGCTGCGCAGCTTCGAAGACTCCCAATCGACGTCGCCGCCATCAAGCCGCCGCGGCGGCGGCGACGCTGACAGCGCCACGATGGCTGTAGCGTCAGCAGCAGTGGGCCGAGGCTCGCCTACCCTGGAGCCATCGCTGCTGCCGCTGGCTCACGGCGCATCTGCCTCCACTGCAGCGCTGCAAATGGAGAGCAGTGCAACGAGCCAGACGGAGGCGGAGGAGGCGGGGACGGCTCCCTCCCTGGACGCTGGGGGGCCATTCCGTGGTTTGGATCTGGATTTGGGCCCGCCCGCCAGCCGCAGGGTTGCAGCAGGCGAAATTCAAAGAGGTCCTGTGGATCCTAGATCCATCGCGCTGGAGAGCCGCGTTTCTCCCCTTGACAGCCACTTCCAGGCGGCCACAGAAGAAGGAGAAGGAGGACAGGGCGGGGAGGAGGACGGGGAGGGAATATATGCAGTGGCAGCGGCGGACTTGGACGAGGGGGATCAGGAAGAGGAGGAGGCGGAGGAGGAGGGGGCTGGGTGGTCATTCCGCGACAACCGCCTGGCGGCGGTGGGCTCCGCCAGCGGTGGCATGGTACCGGCGGCGACGGCGGCTGAGCCCAGCGGCGGCAGCACCGATTCTCCTGACTGGGAGGCTGGGCCCACGCCACGGCTAATGAGCCGGATCAGCGGCGTGGTGCCGCCGCTGCAGTACAGCAGGTCGTCATCCGTTACCAGCGAAGCCGTCAGCGCTTCTCTGGGCGGCAGCGTCACGCCGCGTAGCGGCGGCTCCGCCGCCGCTGCTGCCACTGGCGGCCGTATATCCACCACCGTTGCGCGCCCTGGCTCGCCCCTCTCCAGTGAGGCATCCGCATCGGCGGCGGCAGCAGCGGCAGGTTCTCCTCCTCCGCAGCAGCAGCAGCGCGGCCTCAGATCCCGGGACAGCTTCACCCGGGCCGACGTCGACGCTGACGCCGCGGCCGACATTAGCGCATACCCCAGCGAGGACACCTCGCCGAGGCGGGCTGCTTCGGTGGCGGCGGCGGCGGCGGCTCCGCAGGGTCCGGTACTGACCCACGGGACGGGATACCGAGTGGTTACGTCGGTGGCGGCGGCGGTGGTTTCGGAGGACCCTCGGGAGGCGGCGCGGCAGGCGGCTCAGCGGGAACTGGAGGCCCAATTGGAGCGGAGTTCGGCTCCGGAACACACTGCCAAGCTCAAGGTGTGGAGACATTTGAACATTTGAATCCGTCACGCCCACTCCATTGGGAGGGCCCTATGCAACCTGACCCGTAACCCCTTGTTTCCCTTCCAAAACCTTCCCCCACAAACTCGGGGAGCATAGGGCCCTCCAAGTAGACTGGGCGGAATGATGGGAGGAAGGGGGCGCCGAGAAGGAGGGGTGTGCGGGGGGGGGAAAGAGGCCACACACACACACACCTCCTCCTCCGCGTCCTCTTTCTCTCACCATCAGCACCTCCCTGCGCTTCCCTCGTGCCGCCACGTGTGCTACGTGCAACCTCACGTTTTGGCGGGTTCGACAGTGTTTAAATCCATTCATCGCCCCCATCTCCATCACGGTTGTCTCACCTACACCCTCTTCTCTCCGTTCCTCTCGCCCCGAAATTCGTAGTCGCATCCGCATTCGGGTTTCGTCAGGGGGCTCCGCTGCCTCGTCGCCCCTGCTTTGGATTTCTACCCGCGGCATTTGCGCCCCCTCTATTTTTTGTGCCACGTCCATTCCCATGATCATCATCATCATCATCCCCTCGCCTCATGTCGCTATGTCGCCAGGTCCTCTCCGCGCCCACCCAGACTCCAGAGTGTTCTCGCCATAACCCCCGCTTTGGTCTCGTCCCCTTGTTACCCCCCTTCCCCCGCCGCTATCCCCGAACCACCCTCAGGCCGCCAGCCGCGCCTCCAAGGCTCTTCTGCGTGCTGGGCCCCAACACCACAACCTGCTTCCCCCCACGCTGCCGCCGCTGTCACTGCCACCCCCGGGCAGCAGCGGCAGCTTCGGGTCCGGGGGCTCCCCGCCGACCACGGGTTACAGCATCGTACAGCCACGTGGCTCCTCGCGCCTCGGCATGCCTCCCCTGGAGGAGCCGCAGGGCGGCGGCGGAATCAGTGTGCTGGACGCTACCGTACCGGGCCCGGCGGAGATGGAGGCGATGGAGAGCGCCGCGAGGGCAGCGTTGGGGGCGCCGGCGGCCGCGATGGTGGGTGCAATACGCTGGGTTCTTATTGGGGACGAGGATGCAGAGTGGACGGGGGAAGCGTTGAAAGGAGGGAGGGAGGGTCTCGCCATTGGAGAGGAGGGATCAAGAGGGAGGTGGAGGGGGGTCTGGGTACGTCACTCGCGGGGGAAGGGGGGGGAGGATGGGTTGGAGGATGGGTTGCGGGTTTGCGGCTGCGTCCCCGCCTGGTTAGCTTGGCCCCCCTTTGGTTGGGCAGCTGCAGCCGGTGAGGGTAAAGCTGCCGCTGCGGTGGCTGACGCGGTTGCCCACTCCCACTACCAGGCGCACTTCCCCCCTTACGTTTGCGCCCACATGCCCACATGCCCACATGCCCGCAACATGTCGACCTCCTGTTCTCACTGACCCCGTCTTTCGACGGGGACTTGGGAGGAGCACTTGCATATCACCAGTTTTTTATTACCAGCTTATCAGCCAGTTCTTAGGGCCAAACCTCGTCAATGCGCCGCCAGGCCGGCGGCAAACTTTATTCCAGCTTCACGTCAGCAGTTTCTTACTACTTTTCCGCCGCCTCTACACCTACCTACCTTTACTTCTTTACCGCTTGGCATTACTGCTTTTCTTCCGCGCTTATTTTAGTCTTGGTGGCTAGGTAGGTAGTTTTCCGACATCTTTTTCACTACGTCATCCCGAGGTCGCCGCCTTCAAGGACGCCTCTTGATCAGTCCTACTCTTGGTACACTTTTGCCCTGGCGGCAGCTTCACTCGTTCATGGTTCATCTTTCCCCGTCTCTCGACCCGTCTTCGAATCCGGCGGCTATCCCTCGGCCCTCAGGGGAGTCCTTCTCCGGTCGTCTTCGTAACTCGGGTCCCAACGCGCGCACGCGCACCCTCCCCCTCTTCCCACCTCACCCCGTCCCGCAGGCCCAGAGCCGTTTCGCGGGTCAGGCGCTCTCAAGCCAAACGGGCGCAGCTCCGCAGCGGCGGCCCACCCTGCAGCACCTCGGCCCGCAGGACAAGGACCGCCCGCACCCCTCCACGCCACTTGGCCCCGGCTCCTACCTGCACATCCAGGCCACCATCGAGCCAGGTCGCACCGCTCACATGCAGGACGTGTGGGCAATATGAGAGCAGGCAGAGGTCCAGGGATTTCGATTCCGTCTGTATGAATGTACGTATGTGTTTAGCAACGAGCGGCCGTGTACTAACTGACTGCCGTACTGTGACGTGAGACGTCAGAGTGAAATACGTTACAGTCGGCCCCGGGGGGTCGGGGGGTTTGACGGTGACTTGTTTTGTACTGGTATATGCCGCTGTGGGTTTTGGGTGAAAGGAAGTGGCGGTGTTGGTCTAGTTGGTGGAGTACACGACTTTAGGGATGGTCGTCAGGGGCCGCTGGCGGCGGCGGTGAGGAGCCCCGCCCGGCCGCCCGGCCGCCTGTGTTACCTGGTGGTATCTAGTGGTGGCAGTCCATGCGGGTTCTCCGCGTCCCTATATCATATGATGCATCATGTATGTATATGTGTGTAATGTTGTAATGGTGAAGGGGGTTGTAGGGGGAATTCCAGGGATCGTGTGTTTGCGATGCGACCTAGGAGCAGCGATGTTTGGGTCGCCGCCTCCTCCACGTCCGTCCGTCAATCGGTCCTTCCGTCCGGAGGCTTTGTGGGAGACGATGTGTGTTCACGTGTTGTGAACGCCGTTGCTCACCCGCGTTGTGGGTGTGCTGGTGTGCTGGGGCTAGCTAGCATGGTGGGAGAGCCCTAGGGGGGCCTGCATGGGGGCTGGTACAGGTGCAGCTGATCCGGTGCGGTTCCCGGCGATCCGTATACATGCAGGCGTTGTTAAAACGACCGGACCGGCATGTTACCGTTACAATGTAGGTGGTGGAGTTGGGGGAGGTTGACTGTATGCGTGTGTTGGGGGGTGGGGTCTTCTTTTCTGATGTGCCGCAGTGCGATGTAGCTCCTCCGTGTGTTTGCGGTGTTTGCTGCTGTGCGACGGCGATGCAGGGGATGCGATGCGAGGGGATGGCATGTGTGCTCGGGATGGATGGATGGATGGATGCAACCGGCGCGCACATTATTGCTTTGGAATATCAGTTCCGGGTACGGATGTACGGATGTACGGAAACACGGGGTGGTGCTGCGAAGCATTGTTACGGCGCGCATGAGTGCTTTGCGATGAACAGTGAAAGCTGCACATGTGCCGTCTACACCTCTCAAAGCGCAAATCTGTAGTGTATATGAATATGTATTTAAAGTGCACACGTACGTAGCTGTATAAGTGACAGGGTATAAAGTTTAAGAGGGTGTGCTGACAGACGGAAGGACTTGGTCAGCGTTGGAGGGTCTGTCGTCCATCATCTACCTACCTACCTACCTACCTACCCTCCTTGCAGCGCGGGGTGAAAAGAAAGGACATTTTGAGGCACTGGGTTGGCAGCCACCTTTGGCCACCGGGCTCTTTGTAGCGGTGCCGCTCTTTGTCACTACGCGTGGTTGAAGGTTTCGGAGGATAAACACGGCTCGGCTTTGGAGCGAAAGAGTTGCTTGTTGGCGTCCTAGGGTGGACGAATTGGTTTGTCGGGTGACGGGCGCAGCGGCGAGCAGTGAGGGGGGCGAGACGCGTCTCGGTGTAGCGGCTGCCGTGCGGAGACCGGTGGGGAGGATGAGGCCAAGCAGGAGGCCAAGCGGAGGGACGCCAGGAGGAGGAGGGACGGAAACGGTGTATCGTAGTTGCCGGTGGTGGTGGTGGTGGTGGTGGTGGTGGTCAGCAGCACAGCCCTTTAGGATGCGATGTTTTAGTACAAGGTAACCACTGTACAACAAAGTCGGTCACTTACCGTACAGGCACATAGGGTGTGTGTCGTGAACGTGGCGAGCAGGTGCGCGGGCAGGTTGCGTTCCAGATATCACTGTAAGACGGAGTAGCGGTCCGCCATAGTCCCCCCCCTAGGTTTAGCCGCCTTCCTCCCTGGTGAGGCGCTGGAGCTGCACTGACCGGCACAGTGGGAAGTGGTATCATCTCCTGCGAAGACGGGTGAGTGGCTCTGCACCACCTCCCACCTAGCCCCCCACCTAGCCTCCATCGGAAATAGAGCTTCATCCGCACACCTGGACCGCACCGAGCAACACGGCCTTCTCAGCACATCAAGACCCCTCACAACGACCTCCTCAGAGACCTACCCGCTCTAACAGTGCTAGCCACCGGGGCACACAGGCCACAAGCTTGAGGAATGGCCCGGGAGCTGCAGCGGCCTGTTTAAAATGGGCAGCACGACCCTGGCGAGCTTTGAAGGGTCAAAAAATGGCCCCGGAAAGGGGAAGACGTAGCTGGGGTCAACGGCAGGACAACGCCAAATACCAGAACACGAAAACAACATGGTCGCGGTTCAGACCCCGATGCTCGTCCCTGTCGGGGTCTCCGGCGCCGTACATCAGGGGGGGGGTCTCACCCCTTTACGTATGTTACTGATACGGTGTGCCATACACAGAAATGACAGCAATTCCGTAAGGTGCCGTACGATGGAGGAATGTAGTTCTGGTCGGCACCTGGACTATAAAACTGGGGTACAGGGGTAAAAGGGCAGGGGGCGCGGTTATAGGCATGGAAACATTCAAAGGCAAGGATGAAGGAAAGCCCTAGTCGGCCGGAGGAGAGCCTGCAGTAGCCTGTATGGGAGACAGCTTAGTGGATGCGCACTCGACTCATGTAGATGTACTTGCATACAGCGGCATTGATTACATCGCCTGTATGCAAGGCTGCAACATCCCTCTTGGCGTGCGTAACCATCATGGTTATTTTTCGTACAGTCGAGCGCACATTGGGATGCCCACATGCGACATACCCTTATGACTTAGCGGACAGCATGCGATGCAGCATAACTGGCTGTAATCTTGTGTTGTAACATAGACGATTTTTTGCGCATTAACATTTTAGCGTTATGCTTGCGACGGCCTCAGGCCGAGGCCGACGTTACGGACTCTGATCTCGGCTTAACAACTTTTTAAAGCATCATGGATGTTGATACACCAACCGATACTGCGGCTGACGTGATTGACCAGCTTCCGAGCCCAACAGCAGCAATTGAGGTCCTGCGCCTCTTAATCGCTGCAGATGCATTTCCTCGAGGTAAGAATCGTGCTCGATTATCCGCCTGGAAATAGTGTTCAGCCGTATTCTTGTGCGGGACCTCCCGGAGTTGCAGTGCTTTATGATAAGTTAGGATGCACGTACAGGTGGGCTTTACGCTGGATATTACTGTGCATCGGCTACTTTACGCTACGAGGTCATTTGGCTTAGTGTGCTGCGCGAGTATGTTGCGCGAGGTGGGGACTTTCCCATCCCACCTCTAGACGTCGCGTTCGCATGGTGAGTGCCTTAAGCCTCAAGCTAAACTGATCATTTCTACTGGATTGAGGAAGCGGAACGGGATTTTTTGATTTTTGAGGTTGCCGTTGATCGGAAAACAGTAGTTAGGCATTAGCCGGGGTCCCCGCGTCAGGCTTCTTCCCTCATGAACGACAGAGTCGCTTTTATGCGCTAATATTGCTGATGTTGCCCTCTCTAAATGTGGTGGGTAGCTCCTTCTGTCTTGGGGGAGTCCTTATTTGGCCATGTAGTAGACTTGTCTGTTTCATCCTCTTGCACCTGCATCACATTATTTTGGAATATGTGAATATGTCACACTTTGGTTGGCTAAATTGTCGTAAGATGTTATTTCCACCACTTCTTATTGAGGCGGAGTACGGTAACCCAATGCCGAATACGGCAACCCAAGGACCGAGTACGGCAACCCAGGGACCGCGTACGACGGCCTCCAAATCGTGTTAAGATTCGCATATTCGCATTACTTGTGGTACCGGCCCACTACTAGACAAAGGCCTCTCCTAGACCGCCCGCACTCCGAACCGGCGGGGTTCTACACACTGTGCGCACTCGTCGTTATCTCTCGAACCTCTGCCTTTCTTGCCTCCCTGGACCTTCGCCCACCTCCCACCAGCCCCCCGAGCATCCATACTCCAACCCAGGCCAGCACAAAGATATACATTCGTACATATAAACTCATTTTGGGGGAGCTTAAACGGACACATGCCCGGGACGAGATTAGGTTCAGTATCGGGTCTTAGCAGCCCTACAGAGCTTCTAGAGGGGTTTCCGGAAGCCTTAACGGGGAGCGAATGCGGGGTGGGACATGAGTGGGTGGGTGGTGACGAGGGGTCCGTAAGCAAATCGGTCGAATCGGTGCACACGCAGCCCACCTGAACCAGGCAAACCCGAACACGCGGCGCAGTAGGGACACACGGAGCAGCGGACAGCGCCTAGGAAGCCAAGGAGCTGGCGAAGAGAATACCCGGGGTTAACGGAGTTAACTGTCCGGGTACTGTCCGGGTACCAGTCCGTAGGGATGTCCACGGCGGCTCAAACACACTTGCCGATTACTCCCCGCCCCCCACCTCTACACCTACCTTTACTTCTTTACGGCTTGGCATTACTGCTTTTCTTCCGCGCTTTTTTAGTCTTGGCGGCTAGGTAGGTAGTTGTCCGACATCATCTTCACTACAGCATCCTGAGGCCTTCAAGAACGCCTTTTGGTCAGCTCAATTCTACTTCTGGTACACTCTTGCCCTGGCAGCAGCTTCACTCGTTCGTGGTTCGTCTTCCCCACCCTCCCCACCCCCCTAGGTTCGTTCACCGCCAGTTTCCAATTAGCTACGTCAACAGCACTCTCCGCTGCTGCGGCCGCGTCGTACACCCCCCCCGGGAGGTCGCCTTCACATTCGGCACTTCCAAACACAACGCCCAACAGCAACAGGATCGACGACACGGCGGCGGCGGACAACACCACGGGGGTGGCGCGGGGGGCGGCGACGGCGACCCCCCCGAGACGTTGTGGAGGCTGGTTGCCGGGGAGTACCCCAGCTGGCCGCCCCCCGCGTCCGGATCCGACTTCGACTTGGTGGCCGCAAACAACGACTGGCGGCCCACGCTGGCGTCACAGCTGGTATGTACGACTGCCGTACATGATTACAGATGCTGGTTATGCGTGCACAATCTTTTGGTTGTGCACATGCACGTACAATGGGCACTTCCCCTCTCTGTACGAATGTTCTGAGCCGGTTTCGGGGCGGTCCTGTGTCCTCAGTTAAAAATTTGGGAAAACACTTGATACGTTTACACGTACACTGCAAGTTACCTGGTATGTGACATGACGCGGAGAGGTGGGTCGCGATGATGATGGTGATGGTGATGGTGATGGTGATGGTGATGGTGATGGTGATCTCGGATCTGGCGATATCTCTTGGTGGGGCCCCCTCTCCCCTTCGTTGCTTAGCCCGCACCCCCAAGTGCAGGCGGGCCTTGCGCCCCGGTGGCTACCCCTGGCCCGTCCCTCCCTTTACCACCCCCCATTGCCTGTCCTCCTGTGGCACCCCGCCCTCCTGTATGCATGTATGTATGTACGTATGTATGTGCAGGCAGGGCCCATGTCCCGTTTCGCCACATTGCTCCATTCCTGGATGCGGCCGCACTTCCTGGACGCCATGTTCCTGGACCGGGCCAGGGAGAGGTGGGGGGGGGCGGGGGAGGGCGGGGGAGAGGTGGAAGGGTTGTGCGGTGGTGACACGCGATGTGTTTCACTTGTCGAGCACATACACAGACATATACACGCACGCGCACTGGCTGTGGACCTCAATGAACTTGGTTCTGGTGGTGGTCTCCGTCAACTCAGGCAACCGGCGGCACATTGCTGTCGTTTTCCTCACTCTGCCCTCTCACCGCTGAATAATTCAAATTCAAAAAGGACACGGCTTGTCTGATCTTACCACATACTTGACGGTGGTGTCAACACCCGAACGCCCGCATGCGTGTACGACACAGGTACGGACGTTTTCTGGATCTGTTAGCAGCTCATCCCGAGAGGACCCTGGTGCCCTCCGCCGACATCGCCCTGATGTGGCACACCCACCTGGGGCTCAGCGGCAGTTACGCAATGTACGGCATGGGTAAGGGGGAGACCGCCAAGACCGGCCCTGCCAGAGCCGCTCATACCAACGGCGGCACCGGCGGCGGCTTGGCAGCTGCGCCCATTCGTCCCACGTATTTGGATTTGGAGGGCGTGCCGCTTCGTGTAGCGTATAACGAAACGGCACGACTGTACGAACGGATGTACGGTAGGTACGGCAATGCAGGCTCACAAGGCCTGCCGGACGTGTGACTTGTGTGCCACGGTTGTTTACGACCGACGAAAGATATTGTGAATTGTTGTTGGTTAGTATTAGTTTATTGGGCCAACGCTTTCTCCGTACATCTTCCGTACACAGGTGAGCCGTACGACAGCCGCGACACTGCTTGGCTACGGCCCTGGGAGCTGCACCCCCTGGCGGGGCCCTGCAGTCCCCTGGCCTTCGCCCTGCGCCGGGCATTTGACGACGTGCCCTCCGCCGCCGTCGCCGCCGATGCCGCCACCGACACTGGCGCCTCCGCCGAAGGCCCCTCGGATCTGACATCCAACGGCAGCGGCGGCCCCATGGACATCAGCGGTGGCGGCGGCCTGTTACACCTCAGTCGCCGTACGAGCGGCGGCGCCAGCGGCCGCAGCGGCGTGATGCGCTACAGCCCCGCCGCCGCCGGCTGTTCTGCACGTTCCTCCGTGCCGGTGCGGAACCGGTCGGCACCGCAGCTACATCTACAGCTACAGCAGCAGCAGCAGCACCCCCGTGCCGGTGCACATGCTCTCTTCGCGGCCTGGCTGGTGTCCACCTCCGCGGGGAACTTCTTCGACCGCCAGACGTGCGGCGGCCTGTGCTTCCGTAACAGCTGGAGCATCAAGATCGGCACCGTAGAACGAATGGTGACACCGCTCGTACTGCTGCCGTACATGCGGGGCCTGCCAGACAGCAGCGACCATCCATTCCTGGAGGCCCTGTCGTTGCGCCCGGGTGGGTGGCGGCCGCCGACGGGGGGTAACCAGACGGCGGGGACGGCGGCAGCGGAGGCGGAGACGGAGGCGGTGGAACAAGAGCAAGATCAAGGGGGGGTTCTGGAGGGGGGAGGAGTTGGAGAGGAGCCTGGAGGGGTGACGGAGGTGGCGGTGGGGGTTTCGGGGGCGTCCTGTAAGGACTGTGTAGGGGGTTCCCAATCCGCCTCGGAACAGGGGGGGGAGGGCGACAAGGTGAAGTCGGGCAGCAGGAACAACAGCGGAAGCCGCTCTGGCGGTGGCGGCAGTGGCGGTGGCGGCGGTGGCGGCAGTGGCGGTGGCGGCAGTGGCGGTGGCGGCAGTGGCGCTGACGGCGGTGGCGGCAGTGGCGGTGACGGCAGTGGCGGTGGCGGCGGTGGCGGCAGTGGCGGTGACGGCAGTGGCGGTGACGGCGGTGGCGGCAGTGGCGGTGACGGCAGTGGCGGTGACGGCGGGCGGCGGGGAATGTATCTGGGCGGAGGGTTCCGGCTGGGCGACGCGGAGGACTTCCTCAACGACCCGGCCTTGGCGGGTCTTACGATGCTGATGGAGGAAATCGGCGCCACCAGCGGAGGCGGTGAATGGAGTCGTACACTGCGAGAGGAGGACGAGGAGCTTTCGTCGTCGGGCGGCGATGGGGGAAATAGCGGCGGTACCAGCGGCGACAGCGGCGGGGCCGCTGCCGGCAGGGAGGGCGGCGGCGGGCAAGGCGGGGCAGGGGGGTGGCGTCGACCGACCGCCAATACCGCCAATACCGCAAACAGTGACGGCGGCGACGGCAGCGGCGGCAACGATTGCAGCGATGTCAGTACAAAGCGCTTCGGTGATGATCGTAACCAGCAATACGGCAGTACGGCACCACTGTGGGGCATTTTGCGTCGACCGGAGTACGTCAGGCGTGCGCAGGCGCTGTTCCGCCACTTGTGGCTGGAGCTGGGCCGGCGGGGCTCTGACCACCCGTTACTGTCGGAGACACGTTCCGGCCGGTGGGCTTAGGGGCCTTAGGGGCCTTAGGGGCCTTAGGGGCCTCACCTCCGCCCCGGGGCACTGCATCGCTGCTGGCGGCAGCAGCGGCCCCCGGGATGGGGGGGGGGAGATGTGCGTCAACTCGCGATTTATATGCGCCGCTACAGCCGCAAGCAACTGCACTTTCATTGATTGGTGTGATCGTGATCGGCGTCATCACTGCATCACTGCTGGCTGACGGATTCCTGAAGGTTCATTGCCTGAAGAGCTAAGGAGAAGCACATTTGGAGGCCGGAACATGTTTTGCGAACGCTTAAGCTGTGTTTAAAGTTTGACATTGTCCGACAGCAGCAGCTGCAGCAGCAGCTCAACGGTGATCATGCGGTCCGATATTTCTCTGATCATGGAATGTGCCGCCAACGCATATTACCACAAGCGTCACGCTTGGTGTGCAACCGCACAGTGGGCCACCGCCTAGCTGGCACGGCCCACCGCTACAAGCGCTGAGGTCCCTCAGGTATCCGGGGGACCGGGGTGGGGGGGGACGGGGCCCGGGGTCTATCGGAACTGCTTTGTGGTGCTATGTGGCGGTGTGCGCGTGCGGGGCGTTTCCGGCACTCTGGATATGTCGTACGGTAGGTAGCTGGGTAGGGTGAAAGTTAAGTGTGTGTGGGAAGAGGTGCCGTACGTTCACGTAGACGTACACGGAGGAGGCGTCGCGACCGAGGGGGTGGTTTCCCGACCGAGGGGGAAGGTAAAGCCCCAAAAGGGGGGCTAAGCGTCGAGAGGCCGCAGGCGAGCCGCCGGGAGGTTGCATGGCGGGACACTAGAGGAAACCAGGGGGGGTTGGACGGACGGGGTGGGTGGGGTGTGGG